GCAGGTGCTGCTGGGCTTGGCTGAGGTCAGTCATGGCTCCAGGCGCTGCCAGGCTATGAAACCTGCTCTGTTTAGCCCTGACTGTGCTCCCCGTGTCCCTTCCCTCCACACACATTGTTATCTTTGCAGGGAGTGATATTTCCAGCTCAGTACACACTCTGGGCAAAATGGGCACCTCCGCTGGAACGCAGCAGGCTCATGAACATCGCTGATGCTGGTAAGACATGAGGACTTTTCCCTACCACCAACTCAGTCAGTGCAGGACCTCCCCTCTTCTTCTTTCTAAGCCAGTCCTTGTAGCAGCCTCAAGTTCAAGGCTGTGGGTCCTTGGCAAAGAAGTGTTAGCAGTGTTCAGCCTTTCCTCCTCTCCTCCTCCCATCCTGTGTTTTCTCTGTCTCCTCAGCTCAGGTCAGCCTGAGGCAGGAGAGGGAACCCGGACACTGAAGGGAGCAAACCTGGATACAAGGGTGCTTGTTTGCACAGTCGCTTCATTTGTGCCACCACATTTTCCTGTCATGAGTCAGGCTGTAGGCTGTAGGTCTGTCCCCCTTGCTGCTGGTCACACAAAGGTACTTGGGTACCAAAGTCCAATTAAAATGACTCTTCTGGTTTCTGATCCCTAGGATGCACTTTTGGGACTTTTATTGCTCTCCTCGTGGCTGGGATCATCTGCCAGAGTTTGGGGTGGCCTTTTGTCTTCTACATCTTTGGTGAGTAATGGCCTATCGTGTCCCTCTGCAGACAGTTTGGTGGTAGAGCTCCCAAAGGCTCCGTGTCGGCGCCCTGTAGGACCAGCTCTGTCCTTACCAGTCCCACACGGAGCTCTGGGCTCCCCTCTCACCCACCAGGCCAGGATGAAGCCATTTCGTTGGAATACTATTAGGGAATGTGCCTTTGCTGAACCATTTGTGCCATCAACCCAGGCCCCTCCACTATGAGCAATGGGTTAAGGGGAGTTCTCCCTTTCCATCTTCCTGCATTTGTCATTTCGCTAGCACCAGCTCAGTCCCCCTGGCTCTCAGCTCTGCTGCAGCTCGCCATAAGAGGAGCTGGCACTGAGAGCCCTGCTCTTCGCAGGCGGCGTTGGCTGCACCTGGTGCCTCTGCTGGTTCCTCCTTGTGTACGAGGACCCCGGACATCACCCATGGATTAGTGCCAGGGAGCAGGAGTACATCGTGTCATCTCTGGCTCACCAGGTACACACAAACCTTTTAACTATGACTGACCACGCTGCAGACGCCGTGGCAAAGGGACTGCTCTGAGGCAGTTCAGCTGGGTTCCTTACCCAGCGGCCAGGGCTAGTTCCAGTCTTCTCAGCAGCAGGTGGAGAGGCTGAGGAAAGCTTGGACAGCCTGGCCAGGGGATGGGAGACAGGAAAGGAGGAACTGGCTGATGTTTTATTCCTTTCAGGGCAGCTCTCATGGCCGCTCCCTCCCACTTATGGCCATGGCTAAATCACTGCCTCTTTGGGCGATCACCATTGCCTGCTTCTGCACAGACTGGGTGTTCTACATGCTGCTGACCTCCATGCCCACATTCTTGAGCGATGTCCTCCACTTTGACCTCAGAAAGGTGAGTGCTGCCCTGCAGCTGAGGCTGGTCCCTGCAACAGCAATGGGACTTGGTCCCCCTGTAGGCTAGGAACATGGAGGTGCCTCAGGGACATCTCTTCCTGAAGAGTGGTGACTCTGGTACCAAGGGAGCTGCAGTCTTGGAGCTCTTGTCTGCAGTGCTTTGTGCCATGGACATGACAATGCCTGTTCTCCGCTCTGCAGAACGGGCTCCTCTCCTCCTTGCCTTATGTTGGGAACGGGCTGGGGCACATCCTGGCTGGGCTGCTGGCTGATTTCCTCCTGGCCAGGCGAGTGCTTGGCACAGCAGCCGTGAGGAAGCTCTTCTCGGCACTTGGTAAGGACAAGCTTTCATCTGCCATCCAGCCTTTCCAACACACTTGTATGGCCTGTTGTAAAACACCCCCCCTTTTCCTCCCAAGGGATGCTGTTCCCAGCCGCCTTCCTGGTGGCTGTGCCTTACGTTGGCTGCAGTTCCACGGTTGTTGTGGTCCTTCTAACACTGGCCTTGACAATAATCAGCATGACAGGGGCAGGCATCAACATTAACCACATCGATATAGCCCCCAGGTAAGTGGGTCTGACCTCTGTGCCCTCCCTGGCTCCGCGTCCTTCCTGTTCCCAATCCCCCAAGGCTTCTGCAACTCCTACTCTCCTTTCCCTTATGTTCTGTAGCTAGCGGCATTGTAAGCTAAGGAGTAAAATAAAGGCTTAAAATCCCCCCAGTCTTGCAGGGAAGATCCTAGTGTTGATCAGCATGTCAGGCAGTATTCATGCAGATGAGGGAAGGGACTGGCAGCACCTGCTCCTCTCCCTTCTTGTGACAGTTTCCTCTCTGCCTCACTCAGGAAATTTTTGCTTCCTCTCCCCAGATATGCAGGGTTCCTGCTGGGAATCACAAATACCTTTGGCATAGTCGCAGGAATTATTGCTCCTACAGCAGTTGGACTTATCATCAGCCAGGTAATTTGGGGCCACAAACCACAAGCACATCCCTGGAAGAAAACAGAGATCCGCTCTCAGAAATGGATCCCTTTCTTTGCACTGAATCAAAAATTACTGCAAGCCAACCGCCTCTCCTAACAAGTGAACACGTGATGTAGCACCCATTCAGACAGAGCTCTGCACCATTTTGGGAACACAGGGATGACTCAGAAAGCAGGAAGAGCTCCACATGGACCCCATCTGTGTGTACTTAGAGATGGGGAGAGGGTCGAGGGAGTGGGGTGAGGAGGAAGCTCTGTGCCAGGCAGGAAAGCTTCCTGAATTCAGCACAGCACACAGCGTTTCCAAAAATGCCAAAGCAGGAAATACATCTCCAACAAGAGGGGGTCTGGCATATGTCTTGAGTTGAGCAAAGCTCTTCTGTTGCTGGTACTAATAGCAAGCAGAGGATGGAGATGAGTTTAATGCCAGTGAACTGGGTGGCAGTAGTTGGGTGATCGCTACATGGAGATAAAAGGAAGGGTGATACCATCGTGATGTGTTCTTGCTCCTCCTCAGGATCTCCAGACTGGCTGGAGGAATACCTTCTTCATATCTGCAGCCCTCAACCTGTTTGGCCTGATCTTCTACATAGCCTTTGGCAGCGGGACCATCCAAGACTGGGCTAGAGAGGACACTGCTGTGCAATGAGAGCCATGAGCATGGGAAGGTACACAAGGCAGTGGGCTGCAAACAGGCACGGGTCGGGCAGGAGGTCTCTCCACTACTCTCTTCTTGCCTGTGCAGCAAAGCTCAGCCGTGTGTTCCTGCCTGCTCCCAGGGTCCTGGCAGCATCCTCGGGCGATGGCGTGAGCTTCCAGGACTGCCTGCACTCTCACACACGAAGTGCCCAGCACCTTCACCCAGCTCTGTCCACCTTCTGATCCCAGGTTACTCCCCTGGGGAGGCACCAGCCCTCCGACCGCGTTGCCTGTTGTGCATTTAGTGCCCTCAGCCTTTGCCCACGAGCAGGAACGCTGCAGCACGGACGGATGCTAAACGGCAACTACGGAGAGCTGGTAAAGCTGGGTGTCAGCCAAGCTCTGTAAGGAGCCTGCAGCTATTTCCAGCAAAGCTGTTCTTAGATGAAGTAAATCGATAATGAAGTAGTAGAGTAACGTTACTTTTTAACTAGCGGCTTCTCACACCCTCTGCGCAGAGACTCCTAACACTTTTTTTCTCTTCGTAATGAGGCAAGCTGATTATTCATTCAACCTTCATCCCCTTTTAGAAGCAACTGGGGCAATAAATAAGTGAGGGTGTTACAGGGTTCAACCTGGCAGCCCTGAGCACGGCCCCCGGGAGGCAGGGAAGGGGATAAGCAGGGAAAGCCTTGAGCTGGTGTCATCCTTACAGAGCGAGAGCCTCATTGCAAGCATCCAACTCAGGATGTGGCCACTGAAAGAGATGTTTGGACCCCAAAAGTCGTGTGAATTTGGCTTGCCCCCTTCCCAGAGAGCTGTGTTATTCTCTGCTCCCAGGGGGCTGTGGGCTGTGACTCCTCTCTTGCGTTGAACTAAGTCAAAATGATACAAAAAGGGGATCCAGATTCCAGGCAGAGATCTGAAACTCACAAACGCTTCCCTGGATGAGTGAAGTGAAACTGAAATATGTTCCCAGGTCTGGTTCAAGGAACCTGTGGGGGGTGCACGGGCAGAAACTCCCGTAAGCTACACCCGATGTTGCTTGGGAGTGAAGAAGCTCCAACACCTTCTGGTGCGGCATCTCCCAGCAAAACCACAGCAGCTCA